GATAACAGACGACAAAATTGTCTAAGAATTCACGAAATATATCATTCATGAGATGTTGAAAAGCAGCTGGTGCATTCGTGAGTCCAAAGGGCATGACATTATATTCGAAATGTCCATACCTGGTTCGAAACGCAGTCTTTCATTCATCTCCTTCTTTGATCCATACTAGATTATATGCTCCTCTTAGATCTATTTTTGTATAGATCTTAGCTTGATTCAACTGGTCAAGGAGTCCTGATATCAAAGGTAATGGATACCTGTTCTTAATTGTGATCTTGTTGAGTCCTCGATAATCAACACACATTCGTAAAGATCCATCTTTTTTCTTTACGAATAGAATTGGAGCTCCTGCTGGAGATTTTAAATGGTGTATGAAATTCTTCGCTAAATTCTCGTCAATATATGTCTTGAGTTCAGCCATCTCATCTTGCGATAAACTATAAATTGGTCCAAATGGTGGCTGAGTTCCTTCCTTGAGGTCGATTGAACAATCATATGGGCGATGCTCAAGAAGAATATCTGCATTCTTTTTCTCAAAAACGTCTTGATACTCCTGATATTGACTTGGAATGCCAATTGAAGTCTTTACATTTTCAAAAATAGGTGCAGTATAAATAGCAAAAGTTGATCCTTCTTTTGCTACGTGTATAAATGCTTTTGCACCTATCAGTACGGGTTTTACTATACTAGACTTATAATTTTTTACTTGGTTGGTAGAACTATTAATAACGCTTTGGGAAAAGTCAAGTTTACGCAAATTCCAATCTATTCGAGGGTTATATTTTTCTAGCCAGGATAAACCTAAAATAACTGGATTGGACGGGGATTTAATTATGTTAAAAGCTATGTAACTATCATGACCGTCTATTGTTACTTTTATAGGATGAGTTTCATGAGTGACATCTCCAGAAGACAAGGGACGACCATCTATGACTTCTACATGTACTGGTTTAGGTTTCTGTACAAAGGGTATTTTACGACTTTTAACAAATTGTTCATCTAAAAAACATGCTGAGGCTCCCGAATCTAATAAAGCAGAGGCTTTGTAATTCTTAGGTCCTAAATATAAGTCTATTATAAAACAAGGAGAGGGTTCTGAGGAGAGGATAGGACCTTCATTAGGAATTGTACAAGGTTCCAGCTGCACGGTCCCTATTGTAGCTGGACGAATCCGTTTTCCGACATGTTGTCTTCTTTGACCGTCATACCCCTCATTTTATAGTTGCGTCGTTTCTTTAGACAATGTTGAGCAGTGTGCTTAGGTTCTTCACAATATAAACATAATCCTTCTTGACGACGACGAATCTTTTCTTGCTCAGTTAGGGGTTTAAAACGTACCGCGTCAATTTGCATGTCTTCTACTTCTGAATGTACGTTTGGCAAAGATGTTGATGTTGCCATAGAGTAATAACGTTGAGGTTCCCGTGAATGATTCTCGGATCGAAATTCGAAAAGTCGATTATCACATTTTACCGCAAAATCGATTGCTTGACTCAAAGTTTGAGGATCAGGTAAGTTGAGCATCAATTTCTTTACTTCGTATTGCAATCCATAAAGAAATTGACTGATGAGTGCAGCATCATGCCACTTGATGTCAATTGCAAGTTGTCAAAATTGTGAAGCATATACTGTTACTGAGCGATTTTTTTGTCGCAGAATTCGGATCTTATTTGTTGCAACACGAGTTGCATCGTGTTCACTATACATAGATCGAAATTCCGCCAAAAAAGCTTCCAAATTGTCCAATATTGGATTTCGTTGTTCAAGAAAAGACGAAAACCACGATAATGCAGAACCAGAAAGTAGAGTGCCATTAAACCTGACTTGTGATCCTGGAGTTGGATAGCTTTGCGGTTGAAGTTCAATTGCTAATTGTACTTGATTGATGAACCCTCGAAACTTTGATCTCGTACCATCAAATTTCTCAGGTAAGGCAATTCTTGGTTCTCTAGTGCTTATAGGGTGTTGTACAATTGGAGAAGGAACGGGATTTGTTGTAGATGTTGAAGCAGCTCCGATCATCTCTATATCTCCACTTTCTGCTATTCTTGTTCTTTCCTGTGTTGGTGAATTGAGTTGATGCATCGCAAGCATTAACTCCCTCATTTGCTCTTGCATTTGTGCCATTGCACTCTTCATTTCAACAAGCTCTGCCATAATGACACTAAGAAGAAAAATTTGTTTGATATTGCTCAAGACAAAAGAAAAGAAAGACTTGATAACAAAGAAGATACTAAGAACAATATCAGTTTAGAAGTGGGTAATCCGTAAACTTCTAATACGCTTATGTCTTGTCAAGAGAAAGGGGTAATCCACTCTTACTCAAGAAAAAATAAAGCTCTGATATTGTAAGTGTACTCTTGTCAATTTGTCAAGGACAAAGACTCGATGAGGGAAAATATACACCAAAAGGCTATCTCGATATAATAAGTCAAAATATAAACAAGTAGGTACATTAAAAGGAAACTGGAATGGCTATTGCCACAAGACAAGAAACTAAAGACTCTTGAATGTGGACTAGAAGCAAGAAAGGAGTTGACAAGAGTGAAGAAGCCTTCACTCTTGTCTCTATATATACTATCTAACTAGGGGCTACGTGGCGACGTTCTATAGGACCTCCAATATGTGTTGACTTTGTAGGACACATGCCTTGACTTACAAGGCAAGTTTTTCTACGTGTGGGCCACATAGTTAGCTTGATCTTCAAGCTAACAACATGTGTGGCACATGGCCAACTTGTTGACCACGTTTCTAATCCAAAAAGTCAATTAAAGACACCTATGAAGTCAAAGCAGCGTCTAGGAAGTTTCTAGGAAGCTTCTATATTAAATATTATAGAATTAACTTACTTTTATCTACTTTTACTTACTTCTACGTATTTCTATATGTAATTATTAGCTTACATGATTATGGCCGTGACAAAAAATAACAGAAAAAGAAAGAAGGTAGAAAAAAGAAGTTCTTACAAGGATTTGAATTTAAATTTAGAAGTATTATAAACACTATATTATTCACTTACTTTAATATCTTATATTATTATTTTTGCTTCAAACTCTACAAATAGATATCTAGAGAAAATTTATACATCTCTCTTTTATGTCTCTTAAATTTAGAAAAAATATTTTTTTAAAAGTTAAATATATAATTCCATAGATGATAACTTACAATATGGTATTAATACATAGGATCTAGTATAGAGGTAGTTGTTTCAAAGTTGGACTAAAATAGATTTTTAAAAAACCAAAATACTAGGAAAGTAATCAAATATTATAGTACAAAAATTTAAAATAAAATAATTTATTAATTGATAGTGGTTAGGCAAGAGACTATAGGCTTTGTAAAACATAAAAAGTCTTAAAATAAAATCAAGGTTTTTATCTTAGCACTATAACAGTGGTCTTAAATTATGACTTAAATACACCAAAAACAATTGTAGCTATAGACAACCAATAAACTTAATCAATCTTGTTTGCACAAACTATGGTATTTATTTTTGTAATAAGAATCAAATTTTGGATTTAAAGAAAATTAAGAATTAAATTAATGGCAATAAATGAAGAAAAAAATAGAGATAACAAAGATAATATGTATAATATTATATTTGCAAAAAAAATATGAAACAAAGACACTAATGAAACATAATCTACAATTTTAAACAAGTAAGATTTAACTATTCTATTTAATATTCATTTCTAGGGAAGAAAATCATTCTTAATTAAATTCTAAGTGTGTATAAATATATCTTTTGATTATTTATTCTTAAAATTATATAAGTTGGTATTTATATTATTCCTTTTTAAACAATACTTCTAAATTAAACATTGAGAATAAAATCTCAAATTCCAAGTGAACCTCATTGCTAAGCATGTAGTTATTTTATTTACTTATCTATAGAAGACAAATTTAGAAAAAAAATTTATTCTTTTTGAATCACTGGGCAATCTCTACACAAGGATGCAATCTGAACAAAAAAAAGTAAGTAATAAGTAACTTTAAATAAAAGTTGATGAAGTGGAAAAAATAAAAAAATATTTTGATTTACTTACCAAATCAAACTAATACAAGAATATGTTTTTTTTAGGTTATACAAATCTGAAATCTACAAACACCAATCGGCAAATATTTTATAAAATAATCCACTTGCATAAATTAAAAAGATTGTCTAAAATATTTTTCGATACTTTTTTGGGCAATTTCATGTTTTCCATGCAAACTAATCCCACAGACATAGGCTCGAAATGATTCACTTTCTTCAGAATGGATGGGTAGATGCTTAATCGACGATAAGTTACTTTGTACGACAACTTTGACGGAATAAAGAGAATTGTTCTAATCAGATTAGTTTAGAGTGTACGACTTTGTGTTGATGCCCCAATGCGCGCACCAACAGAATCTAAAATAGAAAAACAGAATCTTTCTTTTAGTGTCCTCACTTATTTCCAAGCGAAAATTCCACCTTACCTCTGTCAAATGAACAGGAATGACGTCATGCAAGCTGGGGATGGGTCCCCGACCTAATTCACGTTTTATTAGGACATGCCCATGAAAAGGTCATGGACATGAATATGAAAAAAATTATCTCGATCTACTGGCATCAGTGTTGCCAAATCAAGCCCGTCGATGAATACCGCCCGTGCGACCGAAAGTATAATTATGCACGACTGGTTGGTCGACGCAACCCAAGAGTGATAACTCATGCTTAGGGAAAGTCAACTCTTGACCATTCATGTCCAGTTGAGTTAAAAATTCCCCATGTTCCAGCGACATCATCATGCAACATCTTGAGCGCGTCTCCTTCAAAAACCACAGCGTGACTGTCAGACCTGCCTGGGACAAGATCAGCCTTGCTGTCCTTCTGATTCAGTTTATCCGGTATTTCACTTTCTGTAAGACGTGTGCGACCTGCTTTCACTGCGCTGTAAGCGGGTAGCCGTTTGTAATTGAGTTTCAACGAGCGTCGATTCCACACCCCTCTGTTCATTCAATTGCTGAGTAGCTCTTGCCTAGAAATCCCACGTGCTTCTGAAAAAGTCGCTCCCGTACCGAGGCATTGCACATAAAAGTTCGCCCAACACGGTGCTGATCTACATTTGCGCACTTCGCTGCCGAGGTCTAAGTGAGCAGCGTTGTATGTGCACCTATCGTTCGAAACGGAACATCTGAAATCTGCTGAAGGAAAATCACAGTTCTGCTGGGCGTGATCCAGACCACGAACTGGTTCATGACCGCTGCTGGATACAGGGCGGGCGGCTCGATTACGATGAGGTGGGCAGCACTGTGTGTTGTTGCGACGGTGTTGGCCCTCGCCGGGTTTGCGAATGCCAAGGTGGTGGAGCACGACTTCGAGGTGGCGTACGTCGATGCAGCTCCGGACTGCTACGCAAAGACGGTGATTGGCATCAATGGCGTTTACCCAGGCCCGACCATTCGTGCAGTGCAGGGCGACATTCTGAAGATTACGTTCCACAACTATATTGCGACGGAGGGGATTACGATGCACTGGCATGGCATTCGTCAGGTACTAGCTCTCATCTGCCGCTCGCTGTCGTTGCAGCTCGAATCGTGTCATTTGACGCTCGACCCGAGCCTCGAGGATTGGGATGTTCATTGCGTCTATCACGGTACGCTTCGACGAGCTGTATACGTGTGCTGCATCTGAGATTTGGTGTGTGTGCTGTTGTGCAGGTGGGAAGTGCGTGGGCAGACGGCACGGCTGCGGTAGCACAGTGCCCCATTCTATATGGGGAGAGCTTCACGTACGAGTTTATTGTCGACAGGGTGAGAAATCGCATTGTCCGCGTCGAATGTCACTCGGTGCATGCCAGGGCTGTTTGATGGAGGGCTAGATTGTTTTGTCTGCGATATGACTGATTGCGAGTTGTGGTTGCGCAGCCGGGGACGTACTTCTACCATGGGCACTTCGGGTCCCAGCGTGCGGCTGGGTTCTACGGCGCCCTCATTGTGGACCTGCCCGCGGGCAAGCACGAGCCCTATCACTACGACGGCGAGCACATGATTATCGTGAACGATTGGTGGCACAGGCCGATTGTGACTCAAGAGCAAGGCCTGGAAGCAATCCCATTCAAGTTTGTCGGAGACCCTCAGGTGCGTCCTGTGATTGCTCACACGCATCAACTCTCCCCCCGCCCCCTGGCTGTCTCCTTGCTTGGGATGCGGTCTGCCTCCTGAGGAAGCAGGAGCCGAACCTTAGAGCTCAGCTATCTGATCTCGTAGCGCGACAATTGTATCGATCTGTTTTGATTCGTTCAGTAGTACCTCCGGGGGCATCACACGATACTCGCCTGAGGCACGAGAATCTGGCTGGCATCAGTTGACCGGGCTTTACATCTTGGTAGCTAGCAGCCGCATTACCAAGAGGCTGACATGCTGATCGTGTGCCCCGTGGTTATGGATGCGTGCAGTCGCTGTTGCTGGAGGGTCGTGGACGGTACAATTGCTCCGCCGTCCCTACTTACACGCCGGCCGCCATCAGCTGCAACCAGACCGATGAGAGATGCGCACCTCACGTGATGAAAGTGGAGCGCGGCAAGACATACCGACTGCGTCTTGCCAGTGTGGCTTCCCTGTCGTCCCTGAACTTCAAGATCGAGGTGCGTTGTGCTTTCGACTTTCGGTGCCCCACTTTTAACGACGGCGATCATCGCGCACTTTTATCCGCGTGACTGCTGAGGCATGACCAACTCACGGCATTGAATGTATGCAAATTACGGGGTTAACGGTGCAAGTCCACCGCGATGTCTGATTGGATGGTGGGTGGTTCATGGTGTCTGGCAGGGCCACAAGATGAAAGTGGTGGAGGCGGACGGGCACAACGTGCAACCCTTCTGGACAGACAACCTGGACTTGTATTCCGGAGAAACTTACTCTGTCCTCGTGAGTGCCAACATGCCTGGGGACAATTACCATTTGGGGCTGAATGTGCGCGGCCGGGAGGATCACAACGTGCCCACCGGGCTTGGCATCCTTAACTACAATAATGCGCCCGTGAGGCAGCCCAGTACTCCAGCGCCCAAGGGCCCAGCGTGGGACGATTTCGAAGCCAGCAAGCGCCAGGCCAGGAAGTACAAGGCTCTGAAGCACAACCCCGACCCCACGAGCCACGCCTTGGACAGGCACGCCAAGGTCACGCGCACCCTCATCTTGCTCACCACCCAGCAAAAGCTCAAGGGACACATCAAGTGGGCCATCAACAACGTGACCTACGCGCCGCTGCCGACCCCGGTGCTGGCGGGTCTGGTGTACAACATCTCTGGTTCCTACGACACCGCTCCCCCTCCGGACAAGATGCCCGCGGACTACAACATCTACGCTCCTCCGCCGGTTACCGAGACCAACAAGGGCAGCGGCGTGTACCAGTTCAAGACCGGTGACGTGGTGGACGTGATCATCCAGAACTGCGGCAACCTGCAGAACATCAGCGAGAACCATCCGTGGCACTTGCACGGCCACGACTTCTGGATCCTGGGCTACGGAGACGGCAAGTACGACCCCAAGACGTCCCCCAAGACGTTCAACCTGAAGAACCCGCCCATGCGCAACAACGTGCCGACATTCCCTTTCGCATGGACCGCCATTCGGTTCAAGTTGGACAACCCCGGCGCGTGGCCGTTTCACTGTCACATTGAGTGGCACGTCCACCTGGGGATGGGTGTGGTGTTTGCTCACGGAATCGAGGAAGTGCGTGCCAAGGGCATCCCTAACTCCGTTCTCGGGTGCGGCTTAACTAAGCAGCTGTTCAAGTTGCGCTAGGCGCATGTGGCCTTGGCGCACGAGGCGTGGAATTCCAGGTCGACTGAGGGGAGGCATTGCGAATGGGTCCTTCGTTGCGTTTGTGAGCGTCATGATCTGGACATGATTGAGGTTTGCGTTTCGGGGGCGCCTGGCCGGCGCTGGAATGCGGAACTTGACAGGGGCATTCGCGGACTCCCCTGGAGTCGTGAGAGGGTACACGGATTCTATGAGTGAGATGCTGTCAGGTGGACGTTGATGTCATTCGTAAGGTAGTGAAGAGATGAGTTTCTCGTAGAGATGTGTTCAATAACAAATTTTTCAAGCGCTGAGACTGATTGCCAGTTGAGCGCGCATCCAGTTCAGTGGATGTGTCGGAAGGAATGAATGTGCGGAGGAATAAATCCCCTTTTCGTCCACGTCCTTGTACGATTTGTTTTTTATACTGTTGTGTGATTCGTGCAGTTTGGGCGCGTACAGAATTGTTGATTGGCATCGTTTGAGTTGCTAGGATGTTTGTGTAATGCTGCTCTGCCAGCACCATTTTCTTGAGTTTCGGCGGGGTACCCTCGTGGTGGTTTCCCGTCTTAGCAGGTTTTGTTCTTTTGGTTAGTAGGATTAGTGGGTGTTTCACATAAATACAAAAACTGATATCATGGTCGTGCTTAATCGTTGGGAGAAGCTCTGCATGAACAACCTGCAATACGTATCTACCTTGATGCCACACGTGAATGACGTCCGTTGGGACCTCAAGGCCATTAACCAGGTACAATCTAATGAAGTTGTAGTACATCGAATCCTAAACCGTCTGCCTCGTAGGTTTGATAAATTTGTTTCACAGCTCCAGTCAGAAAAAACTATTCCAACTTTTTAGAAGTTGAAATATCTGAACAGGATACACATGGGGGAGACGAACTCCGCTCTCAGGTGATTTCACGAAGTCGCGGACGAAGCACTCATGAGTCTAATTAGAAACATCTACAGCCGAGGATTGAATAGAGGACACACACCCCATCAATCCACCGGATCACACTGGAACCGCCAGACTGCTACATATCACCATCTACAAAACCCGGGAGGACAACCTACTGCGGATGCCGTAATCAGTCATCTATGTGGGAAACCAGGACACACCTCCCGGCTCTGCTGAGCCCCCACACCGATTTCTTATCAACAAAAAATTTCATGTTTCCTTGATGCATTAGAACTCCTCACACTCAGCCATTCCAACAATGATTGGATTCTTGACTTAGGCGCCACTAGACACTTCTCCGTTGACTACTCAGCTTTCAGTGATATAGATCAATCGAGTAACACCATAGTAACATCCGCTAGAGGACAGGATATGTTAATCTATCCTTGTCCAATGGTAAAGTAAAATCCTTGAAGAATATTTGTGACATTCCTAGCCTGCATAGAAACGTACTTACAGTAGGACAATCACAGACCTAGGAGTCCTTTGCATATTTAGTCCAGCACAATGCAGTGTCATATCTCTTTAGAAGCCACATTAAATAGTAGCCAAATGTTCTCAAAAGCAAACACATAGACTCTACAAACTAGAATATCTTGAACAAAACTTCACCTCAGATTTCTCTACATCCACATTACGTAGTCAGTCACATGAATTACCTTTAACAAGTCATGAGTTGAATAGTGTAAGCGGCACCCTAACAAATCTATCAGATTTATGGCACAAGAAATTAGGTCACATCAATTTCAGAAGTTTAGCTGTGATGAAAGCACAAGGTTTAGTTGCATAAATACCTCTTTTTTCCATGAAAAATCAGAGCTACCCCTCTTGTCATCGAGGCAAACAAATCCGTCACAAAATATCCAAGGTTTCTCTAGTTTGAGCTCCTAAGCTCTTAGCCCTCACCAATATTGACGTTTGTGGTCCACTACCTATTGAATCACTAGGACACTCCAAGTACTTCATATTGTTTACAGATGATTTCAGCAGATACTCATAGATCTACTTCATGATTACAAAAGATCAATCTCTTGAAATGTTTCAGAAGTTCCATACAATGATAGAGAAGCAAACCTTGCATTGAACTCTCTGTGTGAGGTTTGACAAGGGTGGAGAACTCATGTCGACTAAATTCACTATATATCTCCAACACTACGGCATTATTCGACAGCTTAATGTAGTCCGCACACTCCAACAAAATAGGGTATTGGAAAGAAAGAATCAGACAATCATGAACAAAGTTAGATTGATGCTCATTGACAGCAGAATGTCTGCCTTTCTCTGGATGGAAGTTGCTCATACTGCTGTCCACCTTGTGAATTGCAGCTCTGCTAAGTCAAACCAAAGCCTCACACCTCACAAACTCCTCACTTGGAGCCAGCCAAATTTAAGCAATATAAAAAAAAAATTGGCTGACAATGCTTCGTAGAACAAGATCACACACAAAGAAACAAATTCGAGTCACAATTGAGCTTTGGCATCTTCTTTGGCCAAGTCAACACTTCGAAATTATACTGCATCTATTTACCCACTTACGAGAAAATTCAGATCACATCGGATGCGGTATTCAATGAAACCAAATTTCTCAACAGCAATTACATTGAATCAACATTTAGCACCGACTCTATTATAGAAAGTCAACTTTAGAATCCAAAGTTCTTTTGAGTCTTTCAAGGATGATCACACCAACACATACGCCGCTACTTCACCATGTGCCGTCGTAACAAACTTGGTTACTACAGTGACTGATCATCAATTGGAGTTTTTTGGGTGGCAAGTTTCAAAACTAGTTTGGGATTTTTATCCTTTTTATTGCATTTTTTTCTTTTTGTATTGAGATTTATAAAAAAACTAGATCTTATTGTAGATTTTCAATTAATTTAAGCATGCAAAAAATAGAGCTATGATAAGGAAGAACCAAGCTAATTTGTAAACAAGAATTTTGAAGGGTGCAAATATAACAAGCAACAAATTTTTTTTATTTGGTCTCATTTTTTTTGAAATTTGTTTAATAACTTTGATATTTTGAAGTTTATAGCTTAAATTAAGTTCAATGAGCTAAATTTTGCTTAAATTGAGTTATAAGTATTTTAGTAAGAAGAGGTTTGTATTTTAGTAAGAATTATAAGTATTTTAGTGAATTATAAGTATTTTAGTAAGAAGAGGTTTGTATTTGAAATTAGATTTAGGAGTTAGATGTATCTTGGTATAAGAAAGAAATTAATCTAAAATTTGCATTCAGCCTTTGGGCTATCTTTTTATATTTGAGTTCATTTGGACAAAATTGTACTTCTTACAATCCATTTGCAATCAAGGGCCCTATGTTCTTTTAAGGAGGGTTGCCTTCTTGACATAAATTCAGTACTTCTACTGAGAGCATTCTCAGGGCAATTGAGAGTACAAATAGAGCATAATAGAATTATAGAATTAGGGTATAAGCTTAGAGCATGAAGACAAATTTAAGAGTCATTAAAAAAGAAGTGAGATATTTTTAAAATTTGAAGATGATAAGTGGATTTGGAGAGACCAATGCAAGTGGCACTGGAGGAGTAAATGCCAATGATTTTCTCTTGGCTTTAAGTATATTTATAAAAAGACAAAAAAATTATAAGCAAGTGAAAAGGAAGTGACTAAGGCATTATGAGGCATGATAGACAAGTATAAAAGGTTTGATGGAAAGAACATCATTAAGTTTCTTTGAGCATGTATGAAATAGATAGAAGTATATCAAGTCCTAGAATCTTGTTATATCTATAGTTTTGAATTGGCATATATATCTAAAATTAAAAAGAAGATAAAGAATTTGCATAGAGATAATTTAGAAGTATGGAATGACTTTTAAGAGAGGTTGAAAGATAAATTTTATGATGATGATTTTCATAGAGTCACCAAGAGGTCATTTTTGGAGTGAGTTGAACAATAACCAGGGAGATTTATAAACTCTCAACAAGTTGCTTAGGAAGTTTGAAAAAAAATTCTATCAACTCTTATCTTCAGAGAGACTTTTATTAGATGTAAGGAAGACTAAGCTCTTTTTGCAAGCATTAGATGAAGTACTAGAAGGTATTTTTTTTATACATCTTGGTTGACAAATCCACTAAAAGAAATTTAATTAATGATTGGAGGAGAATGAAGGATGCGGTGCTATTGGTGACCAAGAAATGACATGTGAAGGAAAAAAGAAGGACTTTGAGGCATAAAACTCTACTACCTATAATGCCAATCACTCCATCAAGTCTAATGATATTTACTCCAATCTAAGAGACATATAAGACTCTTTCTAAAGACTTCTTTGCAGAGTTGGTTAAAAGCATGAGAGAATTGAAAGTGGAGATGAGTAAATTGAAAAAAAACCAAAGAGTTACTTCTTTGTATATATGAGAGAAATGAAAGGGATTTGTTAAGAAGTGCATATATTGTGATAATTCTAAACATAATAACAAAAATTTCTCTAATTATGAAGAGGACTTAAAAATAAAAGTTATCTTCTTTAAAAAAGATAGAGTAAGGCTTACTGCTACAGGGCAATCTTTAAAGCTCAATTTTAGAAGAAGAGGTAAAAAAAATCTTATAGAGAATTTTGTAGGAAGAAAAAGTGAGCTACATGTAACACAAATAAAGTCTTATTTCATTGAAGTAAAGGCTAAGGACATGGTGGCTATCTCAAAGCCATAAAGAGAGGCTATGGTTAGAGGAGCAAAAGCTATTAAAAAGGTAATAAGTTGAAATGATCCAATTGATGCTATTAGCATCAAAGCCTTTTAAATAGCAATAAAAATTTGAAGGATCAAGATGCCATTGTAAAAGAAAAGAGGACTAGATCTTCTCAAGAAGATATGGTAGAGTTTTTCAATAAGAAGAGGCTACGAAGAATTATGAATCTATTCAAGAAAGTAAATGTTTTTCTTTTCTACAAGCTCAAGCAGTGCCTTCATCTCAATCAATGAGTGGAATTAGAGCTTAAGAGAGTGGAATAAAAGAAAAAAAAAGAAAAGAATTCAAACAAGCCTAAAGATAAAATTCTTTCCTATAAGCTTCAATTAGATATTAAAAGCTCTATTGATATGAAAAGAATTTTAGAAGAAAAGATTCTTGATGTAAAAATTGAGTTCACCTTGAAAGAGATACTTGATATAACAAAAAAAGACTTTGATGAGCTTATCATTGATTTCATCAAGAAAAAAAGACAAATGATGGTGGAAGTGGTTATCGTAAAGGCATTGGACTCCTATTTGATTGAAGAAGAGGAGTAAGAGATAATACAAATCTTTTTATAACTTTGTGCACATAGATTTGAAGAAATGATACTTGAAAAGAGAGAGGAGGTGACTATTCAAGACCATGGTAGAAGCAAACATCAAAGAGGAGCAAGAAGTGGCAAAGATATGGAGCATGAAATAGAGACAAGTGAGATAAATGTATCTAATTGTACTTTTGTTGAGAAAT